GCGTTTGTGCATCTCCTCGATTTCCTTGCAGCCTTAGTCCTCTGAAATTCTCCATTTTCTATTCCACTTTACTTTCAACTTTCCTGTCTTTCTCCTACTGTTCATCCAAACGGGCAACCAAAACCGGCGCACGAAAGTCCATATTTAATGTTTGTTCAAACTGAAACTCGACTGCATATTAGAGACGACTTACTGATCGTTACCGTTTTCAAAAGAGTATGTAAAGGCTGCGAAATCCACAGTGGAATAAATTTCATACTGATAATCACTAATTTGTTGGTTCGAGAAATAATTCACCGCCTGACGCCTTTGATGGCAAACAACATTCGTGAAAGGTGAGTGGTATTTTTACCAGGTCACGGTTGTATTAGTCAAATCTTCAAAGTGCATCAAGTTCATCAGTTACACAAAAGAGCATCGACCACGATCGCCGTGTACCTTAAAGTTAAGGGTGCGTTTGACTCAAATGACAGCGTTTATTAAATTCGTTTCTGTGCATGAGAACCGTTGAAGAACATGGCAGCGTAAGGACAGAAGTGCTGTTAAAGTCACTTCCTATCAATTCAGAACGTTGTTAAGGGTGTATGCACAGTATGGTTGGAGGAGAGGAGTAAGAGCCAGCATTCGGGGACATAACCGGGTCGTTAAAACATTGGCGGTTCTCCTAACAGGGTTGGCCGAAAACATGTCAAAACAACAAAAAGGAGGTTTACGAATCACGAACACATCTTCCTGTTTCTAGTTATGGCCAGTGGCCTGAGTGCGCATCTAGGGTGACTGGTTATCAAGGGTGTTTGACCACATCCAAGGGGTGTATGATTCGAATGAACTGGACGCCGACCATCAATTGCATGCGGTTTTCAAATAACGAACCACTGCCTTGTGGGGTAGTTTTAGGCTAACCGAAGGCTCTGTTGTGAATCCCCCAAGGATATTCACCTCATTTGCAACACCAGGTAAATTTTTTGGACAGCTCTTTCAGAAACCGTTCATTTATGAAGCAATACTGTGCTTCGACGTTTGTAGGTGGGTTAGATGCTACTAAACACAACAAAGGTGACTTTATTGCAATCTTTATTGGACATCTGACAGTAAATGGTATATCAATGACTCGACGAAATTCCCCTGGAGGCACACGGCCGGTCTCGTGGTTATTGCCGCTCGTCAGGTATGTGTATCCGGTAATGTCAGATCACTTCATTCGTATAATTGTACCCAGGAAGTGTATTTTCGATGCACAAACCTCATTTGCAACACCGAGTAAAAAATGAACCCAGTGTCGGTTATGCCACTGTACCACAACAGCTACGGATTTTCGAATTAAATGTCTACTTTGATTGACTGCTCGTGAAGAAACCCTCGACTGCCCGTTTGTTAGTAGCCCAGGGGGCATGATTAAAACAGAAACCATGAGCTTCCAATACCGTTTATTTTAACTTCGTGAGGTTAAATGATTCGCCGATTGAGAAACATATAACAAGTATCGAACAGATCTGTGATCTACGAAACCGATTAACTGACTCCATCACATATCTAGTTGTGGTGCTTCGTTTGAGAACTATCACCCGGTAACTTTGCACTGGAAGTTGAGCAGGTATATTGCAAATCAGAGGTCTAATGTACTTCAGCTGCATTGGTTTTGTCAGTCAATCAACCGCGAAAATGTTAAATGAGTGGTGGTGAGGAGGCAAAAAATAACTTGCACGGGAACTTAGGCAAAGCACTCAACTTTCGATCGAAAATGTAACCTGGTCACCTAATAAAATACAATATAGAGGAATAATCTAAGCGATCTTGATAAAAAGAACTAATCACAGGTTTCTTGTCTTAGACAATCCAGAGGGACTAGAACTAGACTTTGTTGATTGGCAGCTTTTCTTTCACCCAGCTCCATATCCGATTGACACCTCGTACTGTTGTCCGAGAGGGTGGGATATTTCGCTTATGTTCAAAAGAGAGGAACGGATCCTGGCGACTATGAAATTTGCTTTTTTTAGTGTTCATTGGAACATATGTCCGATAAAAAGACAGTTACCTCTTCGATTTCGAGACGACAAAGTTTTTCCATCAGAGAATTCGTCCGCTCGACTCTTCCCTGATTCACGTTCGGGGGAATCCCGACCTCGACGACCCTTAGAACTGCCGCGTGAATTAGGTCCCGTACGGGAAGTAGCTAGTGGAGACCTCGAGCGACTTCGAGCAACCCGACTTTTGCCACTGACAGTGCCTTTACTCGGCAGTTTGGCAGGTCCCGAATCAGAGTGGCTCGATTCTCCAGTAACGGAACGCTTTTTCTCCTTGGGTACGTCCGAGCGTGAGTGTACAACACCCTCGTTTTGTTCTTTTTTGGAATCCATTGTATCTACGCCCACATACGAGCGGGAAGTCAGTGCGGCGAACAGATCCTCGACGAAACCCGATGTATTTTCTTGCAGGAAAACTTCAAGTTGATCAACACAAATTTCTCTGAGTTCCTTTTCTGTTTTATCCTTCTTAATAAGAGCTATCACGTACTGTGACAGTGGAATAGGATCAGCTACACATCTGAAAAAAATGAACGGGACAAATTAAGACCAGGGAAAACTTTTTCATCATTCTGATCGAATAAACACATATCTTACAAACGCGTCTGACGCCAGACTGTGCCGAATAAACCATGGTACAATAATCACTATAAACAAAACAAAAACGTTCCGAAAGTCCTCATCATCATCGTACAGCGAGATACAGTGAAGCGAGCTTCACTGATCGCTCAGTATGGTCGGGAGTGGGTGTCTAGGGTTGTCCCTGGTCATCATTCCCTTACACCTCGCGAAATGCTCCAGTACGAACAAGCGTCTCAAATAGCCTCTGCTGAGGAAGTCCTACTCACTGCCTTCCCGTGGCGCGGGTGTTTTCCCACTTAATTGAGCGGACGAAAAGCCGATATCCGGGGCTAGAACCGGGTTGGTAGTTCACCTAGGGGAGTTGGCCGAAAACCCAAAAACTCTGCCGCTGGTCTCTCGTGTCCTACCTCGACTACTGCCCAAGTCTCACCGAATACTACATTATCTGAAGCCCTTCTTCGTTCTCGATTCCCACTTAAAGTACCCGCACTTTATGTGCACACTCTGATGTGTATAGGACAACAGGCCGGTTTAGCTCGTACGCTCGAGACCCTGGCCATCGATGTGTGTTGTATCCAAGGGACTCGCTTACAAGACTCCAGCTTCATTATCCGATTGAAGTCCCTATCAAACCCATCTGCGAAGTTTCACTTACGCCTCCCTGGGGGTCCTGGGACTGCGGCTTCCGGCCTTGCTGGCGTTGGCGCGGCTCTCCGTGAATGAGCTGAAGCCGCGCTTCTAGATTGGATCCCAGTCGACAGTAGGTCGTGCGAAGGGAGACTCACAGGTTCGTACAAAGCAAGCAGCGGTCAACCCGATAGACGAAACATGTTTGTCGCGCTGGCGTACGCCCCAACGGACTGCAGTCCAGATACAGTCAAAGATGAATTTTACCATAATCTA